TCGAGGGTAGCCGTACATTTCAGAGGATAACGGACATTGTTATGTTAAGAAGGGTAAACGGTTATGACTTTAAGGATTTTATACTACAGTCTTGTGCGAAAATTTTCACAGCATAATATTTTTATCTGAATTTGAATGAACTTCACATTTATTAATATAAGATGAGACACCGGGGATTGAAATAACTTCGTTAAATATAGAACTGAATCAAAACAGTAATATCGTGGAACTGATTTTAGTGACGGACTCGGAACGCAACAGTACGATTTCAATGTAACATGCGACAGTATTCATTTCGGATTGAAATCTCAATTTTCGTATTTGTAACAATTCGCTGACAGTGTATTTCGGTGTATTTCAGCTGCGGAAGCCGGTGTCGACGCTCTCGATCCCGGGCGCGATGAAGGCGTACTCGGGTGGAGGGAGGGACGCGGGAGGCGAGGAAGCAGGCGTCGCTCTAGTCGGCGTGCACAGCGAGTACCCGCGCTTCGGCGAAGAACGAGCGCTTGGCGGCGGCACGTACAAGGGCGGGGGGACAGCTAAGCACAAACCCAATATAGGATATAGGTTAGTGTCCAATGCTCTGTCTGTAATTGGAGTGGATGTGCGTGATGTTTTTATATTGAGTTAAATTGTACCTGAGATCAAATGTTCAGAATCGGTACGGAGACATTTAAGGGATTTTATTGAGTTATCCATCCTATACAAGCTTACATTGGATTCCTTCATATATCGTGTTTGAATTTACGAAGTATAAAATTATCATAAAGGCTTTATTTAGCTTTTATTTCAGCATTAATTTTGTAAACAAATTAATGAGCACATAAATAATAAATTCAATGATAAGCACTGATTGAAAGGTCAGTCCGAATAAATAGCGAGTTCAAAATAAATGTTTAATATCGTTAAAGAAAACAACTTAAAAGTTTAGCACACAAATGAAATATTCAACAAGATGTCCCAACTAATAAGTCTTGAATTCGAAATAATTCAAAGGAAGGTTTTTAAATCGAGAAGTTTTGAAGCCAGTGAGACTTTTTCGAAAGTCGATCAATGAAATGATAATGAAGCCGACAAAGTTGGCACTCTAGCATAATTGGAGAGCGTCTTTGTAACATCACACAATGCTGAGACTTTCGTTCTATCATGTGAATCCATGTTTATCTTGGGAGCTAACAAAATGATGTTTAACTTATTACGACTTCTCCACTGATTCTAATATTTTATTTCAATATTGTAATAATTGTACATATTTACTTAAGAATACTATGAAAATCTGGATATTAAAATACATTATAACCTAACTCTATAACGATAAAATGCTTACGTAGAGAACGATAAAATATCTAAGTTATCAGAAATCAACTGGTATTGTTATACACTTTCAGTGTCAATGTCAGACTCTAAATTAATTGAAAATAAGCACTATAGTACATAGTCCAATCCGCGAATCAAACCTGGAAAGATCCCTTACTGACCATCTATATCTAACATATCCATAACTAATAAGGCAAATACAAACAAAACAAATTAATTTAAAATACAAATTAGCACCGTTTAGTTACTGTACCCAGTACACTGTAAAAATGAAGAAACGTTAATAAATTTAAAAATCCAATTTAGCTTTGTCGCAAGCTATTCACGACCACACGTTTCGCATTCTTCTTTTGTTTCCTTTTTTATCGAATCCGAAAAAGGAAGACATTCACAGTTCATTTGTTTTGAATGTGCCAGTATGTTACTTGATAGCTTCAGTAAACGAGGAAAGATTTTAATGGGCCTTTATTTGACTTTGTGTACATTTAATGCGATTTATTTTTTCTTTTATTTTTTGATTAATTGGGAGGTATAAGAAGTTAAGTCAAATGATTTAAGAACTCTTAATGATCAATTAAATGACATTTTCCGTATAAATCACTCGTAACTCCTCTGCTGTTGTGAATGTCCATCGTTGGCGCTGATTGCCCACAAAATTTCAGTCTGCTCAAGCAAATAAAGTTATCAAATAGCGTGATTTTGAAATGAATACTAACATTATTTACCAAAACAATGTTGAGTACTGGTACTTGTAAATCACTAGACTTGAGACCTAGAGAACCTGTTATTTTAAGTACTAACTACACGGGATGTACGTCCAAAAACATAACAATGGTAATATTTTTCGCACCAATGTTCTAGAGTTTGATTTTACAATGCAAATAGTTCCCATTCATCCACTATCTGATCCGCCACGATTTCAAACCACAAATCCTGACTGAAATTTATTTGTTCACAATTTTGATCCGATTTCAATATAAATTTCCATTTACATAGAATGCATGTTCACTGTAAATTTACGGCGTTATTATTAATATCAGATACTCCTGGTTCTGACTGTCTTTCTGAGAGGAAATCTCCTGTAGGTTCTATTTTTTTTGGTATATTGATGGGCCAACGTTTGACAACTATCTCGCCTGGTGGTAAGCGATGATGCAGTCTACGATGGAGCACGTCATCCCATTAGCAACCTATTTACTCGGGCCTTAAATACACCTAGATTATATACCCTTCAGGAAATACAGACTCTGGCAAAGAATTTCACTCCTTCGCAGTACGCACATCGTACGTGTGGGTGCGACATCTACCATGAATGGGTTTGTGATTCAAATCTTTAGTCCTTCTGGATTACCTTTCTATCAGATTATGAACCTTAAGGTACATAGACTGAGTTGCAGACAACTTAACGGGTTACGCGGTTCATTCGTCATTCATCCCATTGGTTTTTAGTCAGCAAAAGAGTGACCAAAATCGATATATATTCAATACTTTGTAATATAACTAAAACACAATCCATAAGGGAAATAGAACCTTAAGTCAAGTAAGCCAAAACACAATACAAGAACAAGTACATCAGTATATTTCTTCAGTACACATCATCTGTCAAAAAAACTTTTACGGGTCATATAAAAGGAATCCTTGTGCCATTCGTAAAATGTGACCAATAAAACCGTGGTTAATACAACATATCATTATTATGGCGTAGTTCATTGTTTTTCCGATATCGGTTCGTACTATTTTCATTAAGTCTCTTGGGTTATATAAAACCAATAAGCAGTGTAATAAAACTGGGGTCAATTGTTGGCCGAAAACCGATGAGTTTATTCTCAAGAGACTTCAATAGGTAAGCGAATGCACTATCCTAGATAGAACATGTATATCACCAACCAAAGAATTGGAGTCTATTTTGTACTAGAAAGGACTATGATAACATGGTGAATATATCACTGAACATATTTTTTTTAAAGTTTAGCCAAACCTTTGCCAGCATAAAAGGTTTTGATTTAACAAAAAACTTAGCCATTGCTTTTCAACCACTAAAACCCTGGTTTCGAACTAAGTAAACAGTCAAAAACACAGAATCATCGATACAAGAAATAATGTGTTAAAGAACAATAAGTATTTTACATAAAAATACGACATTTCTACTAAAATATAGAAGAAACACTTCCAAAATGCTTCCTAGCACATTATATGTGTAGTTTATGGATTTGGAGCGTGCTCCTATCAGCTTTGTATCAACCCGCCCACGTTTTTAGGACCTCTGGAAAATACAAGGGAATATAATATTTAAAGTGCTTTTCACACGACCGATTTCACCTTGAGATTGTAAATGATCTTAACAAATTTCTCCGTCTTCGAGCAAGAATGTTGTACCATGTTTTTTGAACCATGAAAAATGATGGCAAAATATTTTACGGAATTCGGAGACTTGGTTCAATCCAAACGTTACATATTTGTTTCTGGTAAATTCTTAATATAATATAATATCAAAAGAGTACCATTACAAATAGTAAATTAGTAACACCTAATTATAGCAAAACTAACCAAAAATATGTTATTTTAGGTTCCTTTACCAGCATCTGTGTGGTAAGGATCTTTTGATAAAAAATATATTTAATTTACAAATACCACAATCATAATAGAAAAAGCCTTGTCAATTATTTATATTGAATAACCTTTCAACTAACAAAACAGTAACAATCAACTTAAAACACAAAACAAAACTAATTGGTTACTTGAAAATTAATCAATAAATCACACGAAAACACGCTTAATAAACCGAATACAAGCTAGAAGCGTTTTAATAATGCCTATCAGCCTTGAACGAACGGAAATAACTTGCATCAGGGTCGCATCGATTTTGTTTGTCTTCGGAATTATTTAAGTGCAGTGTGGAAGTTATCACCATTAATTTACCCATATTTTATTAAACTGGACACACACGTCAACCCATGTTACTTCTGAGAAACATTCAAGGCTTAACACTGCTGTTATTACTATGTCAAATTTAATGTGTGATAAGAAATAAATATGACAGCCTAACAAAAAATATAGAACTAAGGATTTCTTTACGACATTTTCCATTATGAAGTAATCAAAACGCCAAACGGTAACGTGAGAAGCATTTCCATTGTTGGAATCACGTATTCCAATATCGTACCGCGTTGGAAGGTCACTGGGTTCACAAATACTAAATACTACTTTAATTCAAGTTGATATGGTACAATTTTGTTCAGTAATATTAGGGATTGTTATGAAAATGTGTATATGATTTTAAACAGGGATTTATAAACCAGTACTGGGCACTATCCATTTGTTTTACGTAGAATTTTGTTTTATTATAAGCCCAAATGAATCCTTTTAAAAACCAATTTACTGATAAATGACTCACTAAGATTGCGAACTACCAATCAATGACGACGGGCCCTCATCAATAAAGAGTAATCTCGCGATACTGGACGTCGGCACGAAAACTTTGATCTGAGCCGATCGAGACCTAGTTTAGGCACCCTCGTAAATTTCGAAGTCCCTCTGAAATTTGACATGAAATACCGTAGAGAAATAAGGTGCCTTATTAATAAATGGAACTTACTAATAAATTCTCCGTTCATTTTTCCAGGTTAGGTAGAAGAAAGGCGTTATTCGAAAAAAGGAAACGAATAAGTGACTACGCTTTAGTAATGGGAATGTTTGGTATAATAATTATGGTTATAGAAAATGAACTTTCAAGTGCTGGTGTATATACTAAGGTAAAGTATTATTTTAATCAGATTGTAAATACATTCCTTTAGAGTTCAGATTACAATAACCTGTTATTTCTCATTTCAGGCGTCAATATATTCGCAGGCGTTGAAGACGCTTATATCAATGTCGACTGTGATTTTACTTGGCCTAATCGTCGCGTACCACGCTTTAGAAGTCCAGGTACTGACGACTTTTCTTCTTAAAGATTGTTAGCCGAGAAACTTTTTTAATTAATTTCCGTCTCTTTAATGCAGCGCATCAATAAAGCAATTACCCTGGCGTTCCTTGTAAACGAGACTTTGATTTTTATTAAGAAAGTTTTGAAGTTGGAACATATGCGTCCAAACAATTTTGTTTAACCAGATTTTTTTTAATATTGTCTAACTTTTACAACCATGTGCAGTATAGCAAAATGTAATATAATCCATATTATGTTTTACTTACCGTCTTTCGTGAATAGCATAAACATTAGTTTTGTATTAAGTCGCTATTTGTAACATTTTTCATAATTACACAATCGACTATGTTCACTATTTCTTTACCTGCCGTTATATTATTTACACTTAGGTCTTCGTTCCTTAATTTATTTACATGGGCTCTACACATTTTATTTCTTTCAAACTTTCGCAATTCAAATTGTCTGTGTCACTAAAATACTGATTCATCACGTTCCAGTTATTTATGATAGACAACTGCGCTGACGACTGGCGGATAGCAATGACGTGGCAGCGGATAGCTCAAATTGGCCTCGAGCTTGCTATCTGTGCCGTACATCCTATCCCTGGTCAATATACCTTTACCTGGACCACAAAACTTGCAAACAAAGGCGGAGTTATAGGCGTTGAAGTAGTAAGTACCAGTTCAGATGCTCATATAGTCTTAAGTATGTAGTTATCATTGTCATACAAAGCATTTTGGGCCTTTTTATGTTGTCTGACAATAGATACTTGATTAAAGTTTCTTACTGGAAAACCAAGTCAACTTTTATGTTGCTCACTTATAGATGGTGTTATAGTTTTTTAAATTCTCAATGTTATATTTTAAAATTAAATGTCTGTAGTTTTCTTTGTATTTTATTTTGTGATTTTACTTCTTTACAAGACGAGTACCTACAGACTTTAGTACCGTCTATTTCGTAGTTGATAGTTTTAGCGTCAAATACAAGTATTTTTTTATTATTTACATCCATTCTTGTGCTTTATTTGCTAACTGACGTTTATTTTTTTTTCAATTCTCTCCTTAGGGCACGATGTATAAGCAAATTCAGGTCTGTATCAATTGAGTTGAAGTGTTTCCGATTTTAAGTGATGTTAGAGTCCTCGTCTTGAGCATGTGTCCAATTTATGTGCGAAAAAAAAACTCTTGTTTTTGTGAATGTGAATTTGATAATGTGATATAGACATAGTGTCTGTCACTGATTTTGTTTCGTGTAGCGTTAATATTTGTTCGGTCTTGTTTTAATTGTATGCATGTAGGAAACGTTAGATGATAAGTTTAGCCGATAATTTTGGGTGACGTTGTATTTAACCAAAAACTATCTGATACTTGTGGTTATTATACAATTCTAAAGAGTGTAAATGTTATATTGGCTTCTAAACATAAATTAATATGAAAAAATAAACTTATTTTTGTGCAGAGATAACTAAATTAATAATAATGTGTTCTATTTCAAAGCCAAAAGAATTAAATTATAAAATCACTGTAGCACAAAGCACATTTAGTTTTTGCTTCACTAAATGTATAACTGACATCACTTGAAAAGATAATCTTGTCGTAAATTTTCGTTTTAATGTCGCGTGCCTTAAGGTTGACTATTCAACATAATATTCATACACCTGCTGCAAAATATATTAAGACTAAGTGATTGCTTTTCACATTCCAGGTTCCTTATGATGTCACGCTGTCTCTGCCGATGTTCTTTCGACTCTATTTAATATGCAGGGTCATGTTACTTCACAGTAAATTATTCACAGATGCTTCGTCCAGAAGTATAGGAGCTTTAAACAGAATTAATTTTAACACTAGGTAATATTTTATTTTTATTACTATTTCAGATATAACTTATATATTTCAGATATAACTTTCGATATCTGTTTCTATATCAATTTATAATATCTATTTTCTGACTTTGCCTGGAGTAACTTCCCTTCAAAATATAATATCGTACGCGTTGTGCATGACTTTCCCTATGAAGACGAACGCGTGTTGTTGACTCCATAATTCATAATTGAATTTGAATTTAAGTAGATTGTTTGCTCCTCTCTTTCCAATTATTAATTTATCAAAGTAATAGGAAATTTATTTACATTTCCCTTATTAAGTATTAATAATTTCTTATTAACTGTTCACAGATTTGTCTTGAAGACACTTATGACAATTTGCCCCGGCACCGTGTTACTAGTTTTTATGGTATCTCTTTGGATAATCGCGAGCTGGACTCTTCGGCAGTGTGAAAGGTTGGTATCGTTGTTATGTGTTGTTGGTGATATATCTTAATTTGCGTAATAATTGTGTTCAAAATCTTGGGTGGGGTATTCCAAACCTGTATCAGTATTTGGGAAGTTGATTTGCTCATTCGATTTGTTCAGATATTTTACTTTCTCATCAAAAGTCGTTCCTAATTATCTGTCAGTATCTTCGCTTCCATCGTTTAGTTCGATGTCCACATTCTATGTTTGACACTCAAATTATTAAGTTTTGAAGATCACCGGTGTTTTGCCTATGTGGGCATGCTATTGCTTTTGTACTGTGGCGTTGTAAATATGTTTGTTTTTGCTTTTTAAACCCACTGTGATTTTTTTTTTATTTTTCAATGTCTACGTTTAAAGTTTTACGGAGATAATGTAGTGAAGCTAGGTTCATAACCATCACAATGATACAAGAGTTTGACTTTGACTATTTTTTTGAAATGTAGCTTTTGTAAGATGTATTGAGAACACAAGAGCTGTAATTTAGTTTATGTGTTAGATGTAGCGGATAAAACCGTTGTAAAGAAAGAGGATGCTTGTTGTGATAGTAGAACTAAATATGAAAACAAATATGTTGGCACTGTAACTGCACAATAAGAATATTGATATAGGTACCGTGGAACTATATCATGTCTAAAATAAAGGAGCAAAAATGATCACAGCACGGCTTACCACAATAAATGATGTTGCAAATATTCACAAATATACATTAATTTAACGAATAACAAGAGTTAAATCACGCACAAAATGGCTCTAGGTAACAACACACTAAATGTTAGATGAAGCTTCTGACTTACCATCAACATGCACAGAACCATTGCACCCTTCATGATCATGCATCAAACAAGTTACCTCTTCCCGTTCGAAGCAAGTTGCTTGTAACTCTATCACTTTTACGTGTTTTATCTTCTCTCTTCTCGCCAATCTATCTACTAAATGTTTATCTGTGTTATCATAACCTTCACCTAAGGTTTAAAATTATATCACGCATGGCTACAAGTATAATTTGGTATTCAACCCAGATATATGTTTAGAATGCACGTTGTATTTAAGAATCTTTATATTCGATATTAGTACGTACAATGTCTGTGTAGTAAGAAAGTTTTGTTTTTCCATAGGCATGACAAAATTTTCTTTTGTGTTTAGGAGTACTGTATCACATGAATGTTTATCAAATATTAAAATTGATGCCTTAAATTTAAACTGACATGTCTTTTCCAACATTTTTGCCACATAAACTTTGCTTAGAGGTCCCTGTTGAAAATCTAAATTTTTATACCCACCTTAAAGTTGAACTTATATTGACTTTAGTAGAAACAACCGGTTATCTGTGGTTCTTGTCGGGCATTTTGGCTCTCAGGTTCCACGATGAAGACCATGCCAATTTGCTAAACTCAATGTGGCTGACAGCTATAACGTTCCTCTGTGTTGGCTACGGTGATATAGTCCCCAACACTTACTGCGGCCGTGGCATTACCCTCACCTGCGGTATGGTGGTATGTATAAAATCATAGTAGGATACTTTGGGTTGGTTTTAAAATTTAAACATCTTTCATACGTTTTGTGTGGCTAGGAGTGAATCGTACTAGGCATCGCAAGATTTGCGACTCTATGAAAACTGGTTAAATAAAAAAGCTTGCTTTGTCTAGGTGATACAATAATAGGTCGGTAAAGGTGAGCCATTTTATGTGTTGTTAATAACGTCACAATGTTTGAAGCAATTTCACAGTTCAATTTTTTAATCAAAGTCAAACTCTTTAATTCCACACGGATTCCCTCTCTTTCTTCTTTCGTTTCATTTCTTTTTTACATCTAATCCACTACGCCTGTAGGTATCGCCTTGCGTATGACGAGTCACAGGATAGGGTTTGTGAATGAACACTTCTTTATCGGTCGTTTCGAGTTTAGGGTAGACAGGTCAATGAGTAAATAGTTGAAATTTATTAACCATTCAGGTTTCACGATGAAGAACACGCTAACCTACTGAATGCGATGTGGCTTATTGCGATTACCTTTCTCTCCGTCGGTTTTGGTGACATAGTGCCAAACACATATTGCGGCAGAGGTATTGCTGTTAGCACCGGCATTATGGTAAGTTCCTTACAAACAAACTTTATGACTGTATGTATTGACTGACACAATTTAACCGATTTCCTTCCAAAGAAAATACTCATAATAATTATGTATATGAATGTCAATGTGCGCAAAATCACGCCAACAGCAATGTTGGAATGCTTTCGCTCTTATACCAACGCTTTCGATTCGTTTGATGTGGAAGTCAGTCAACACTAATGTTTCAATGTACCAAACAATTCACACACCACACTAAATGCTTCACTCTCGAGAACTTACGCTAAATCACAACTATTTGTCGGTGTATTCGATGTTATAAATATATTTATAAAGTATATTGATGTTCACAGATATCTGTAACACGAAATGTATATGTTAAAATTGTGAATGCAGTATTATATCTATGTTTACACACCTGTATTATGTCACCACTTCTGTAACTCACAATCAATACACAATATAATTTTGATAATAGGGTTACTATCGTAATATTTTATTCGTAGTTCTTGCAGGCAACAGCATATTTTGGAATACCTATATAAATAATATAAGTACGGTTTAAATATTTTTTAAATAAACTTACGTCCATTTCCCTGTTAAAGCCAGCTATTAGAAATTATATAATTTGTAGTATGGAATGCTTCATTTCTCCTAACTATTTCTAGCTCTCTCTTCACTTAAATATTTCACTGGATTGCACAATACGTTTGTTTTTAAAATGGCTCACTTTTCCTAAAATTATTTTAATACAGAAGTGTACAATAAATCTTATTGCACCTAAAATAGTGTTTGTGTAAATGTTGATAAAGTTAAATGAGATATTAGATGTTCTTAATGTTAAAATGGAAGTAAACGTTGAACTGAATCAGTTTTGTGCACTTATTAGATGGATATGCACTAACAATAACTGTCGTGTTTGTTGAGAAACTGTCTATTGTTCTAACAACATGAAACTTTCAATAAAAGAAGGAAACCGGTGCTTTCATTACATTTTTGTGTAAACCATTTCGTAAGTAAGACATTTCCTTCTTTTATTCTATTTGCATAGTGTTCTGCATTTTAGCACAAAAGGTTTTTGTAATTATAAGTGAATTAAATAATATCAACCCAGATTTAAATAGTAATTTTTAAATTATCCATGCTATCAAAGAGGATAATTCATACAATACTGGGCGGTATGATTTTCAGATCGCTCTAAGATGTAATTTATTAGTATTGTATCTGTTGTCCTCACTAAATTTTATTTTATAATAATAACATTAAATAATCAAAAAGATAGCACATAGCTGAAAAATTTATAGTTTTATTTTTGATTTTTAGCCTTCAAACTTGCGTTATTGGAATGACAAATTCTTGAATGCTTCTACACGTTCGCTTGCATTTTACATTAAGGTATTCACTTAACAGGGAGCTGGATGCACAGCGTTATTAGTCGCGGTTGTTTCAAGAAAATTAGAATTAACTAGAGCCGAGAAGCACGTTCATAACTTCATGATGGACACACAGCTTACTAAAAGAGTAAGTATTGCTGTGATATAAGTTCATCACAATTATTGTTAATCTAATTAACAGGGGGCGGGATGTACAGCATTATTAGTGACCGTTGCTTCGAGAAAATTAGAGTTAACTAGAGCGGAGAAACATGTCCATAACTTCATGATGGAAACCCAGCTAACAAAAAAGGTAAGGTGACTGTTACTCGACTAACAGTCAAAGGACACGATGAAGGTAAGACTTATAAGCTAGGTTATGCTAAAGATGATTAAGATAATTTAAATGATAACGATAAAAATCTGCTTAAAATTAATGCTTGACACAATGAGTAACACACATTAGATGAAGTTAATGGATTTACCAAAACACACAATAGTGATAACACTTTGCTAGAAACTAAATAAGATCTGATAAAATTAATAATAATGTTCAAAACAAATTCAAGGTAAATAGCTTGGATCACATTAAGCTTAAGATACATTGGACACCATGTGATGTCATGTGTTAAAGATGAATAAAAGACATACTAATTATCTGATTGCAAACATGGATACTTACAGCTGAAAAATGCCGCTGCCAACGTGCTTCGGGAGACGTGGTTAATATACAAACACACGAGGCTTGTCAAACGAGTCCATCCTGGGAGAGTGAGAACGCATCAAAGAAAATTTTTATTAGCTATTTATGCGTGAGTATGTGTGTTTCATTTTATTTGTGTAACCTCGTCGAAGATAATCTAGTAAAAGTCATGGTAATGAAGAATAGGTCATGACCATTTGATATATAATTATTCTTATTTGAATAATATATAGTATAGTATTTTGTATTCTAAACTCCTAAATTTCAATTAAAATTTTCAATCCAATTCCTAGGTTACGGAAAGTAAAAATGGATCAGAGGAAGCTGATGGACAACGCCAATACTATTACAGATATGGCAAAGGTACGTTGATTTCTAAAAAATATATTTACTGCTATTGCTACACTCATACACTCATTTAGAGGTAGAACCCTAGTAAGCACTTTAGGAATGCAAGAAATAGATTTAGAGGTAGAAGTTCTTTATAAATCTTCCATGATACGTAGTGCCCCTATGGTAACAGTCCAAATATCCTTTAGATGCTAGATTTTTAAACCAACTATATTTAATTTTAAATCCAGAATTGCATCAAAATTTAAATCATAGCATGCTAAAAATTTGTTCTGAACCCATTTGGCCATTTGCTTAGCGCATGCATCAATTAGACCAAAAATTATTTTGCTGAAATTTTATCAAACGAACCTTAGCTAAGAATGTGCATGTTTTGGATTTAGAAATCACAATCTTTTCTAAACTATTTTTTGATAACATGCACAATATATCTAATGACATTCGTTTAACACATCATAACACACATGAGACAGACAATCATACAGTTACTCAAATCTAATACACTAACACAGACTAGTTATTAGCAACTGCAGTAAATAATGAACTGCAAAGCGATTGATATTAGGACCCCTTTCTCTTACAGACCCAGAATACAGTCTACGAGATTGTTTCGGACATGAGTACGAGACAAGACACCATTGAAGAGAGGCTGACTAGTTTAGAAGAAAAACTTACTTCATTACAGGTACTGATTACGGCGCAATATTACACTGAATCTCGTTCCTAACTTTACCTTCATGTGTTGTCATGATATCTCTCGATTACTATTCAATAAAAAATATAGTCATACTAGTTGGAGTAACATTAACTTAATCTCTGCTTGATATTTACTGGATTTATCTCTCATTATCCTTCTTCCTATGTTTCAGGAACAAGTAAATAATTTACCAGATGTAATGGCTCGGTGTCTACAGCAGTGTTGGGAACGGGCGGAGCAGAGAAGAAATTTCCTGCATCCCGACACTGCTGCTGTGCCTACTCCGCCCTCATCTACTATTACGCCTTACACCAGGTAATCTCAATGTGTTTTATTCCTAAGCCTATTACATTAAAACCATTGTTAACGCCGCGACCCACCGACGACGTTACCACGGGGACCGGGGATGGGGGGCCGCAACGCTAGCGCGCTGCATGAGAGCGGCAGCCACGACACTCGCCGACTCGGCCGAGCGCAGTTCATATTTTTTATCTTTCAATAAACATTTTCTTTTATTCTGAAACTATATTTATGTGTTTCCAGAACGCTGGCGACAGCGTCACATCCCTGGCCTCCAAGCCCAGTGCTGCAGCCGGCGGGGCGAACGCATTCAGCTCCAGAGAGCACGACGACGCATACGCCTTCACCAGCGCAGCCGCAGCCTTCTAGCCCCGCTCCACACGCGTCTCGGCCTCCTCTACCCAGCTGAGTACCGCCTTCCAACTCCGAACTCCTGTGCTGAACTCGACGAAACTCGGCGCCCGTCCTCTGACCCCCCCTTCATGACTACGCCCGAAAGAGGTTGTCGGGGAAGTTGTTTTACAATGGAAGACAGAGATTTGAAGATACTAGTTCAATGAACGCTTTGCACGAAAAATATTAAGTTTTTACCCCGATATCAAGCAAAAATTACGCAGAATTTGCTATTGAATTACAATATTAATATCACTAATAGCACGCGATACGAATAAGAATCTACTGACTTTTCATATTGCCATTTTATCTCATGTTTCCTCCATAAAACTGCAAATCAAAACGAACATTTACTATGTGAAGATTTGTATTTTTATACCGTCATGAAACAAATCCGTTTATTGAAACTATTTTCGACATCTTTATCTTACGTTGGGTGACGAACGGAAAAAGTGAAACGATTTTCTCGGCATACCGAAGGACCACGCCGCGGTGCGAGACAAGGTCAGCCGTAGTTTTCTTCGCTGTTCCCCAAAGTTTCGGATGTGCCAGACTGTTTTCTAGTGATATTGTTTAGATAGTGAAAAGAAATGAGGCGGTACGGACTTGCTGTTGTGATTATACAAATGCTTTATCGATAGACGCTTTAGCTAATTACGTTAGACGATATTTTGAATACATTATCGGAATTAGTATAGATAGTTATTACCAACACGTCTGTTCACGTTTTATCTGATGTTCGAGGAACCAATAACACTGTTTTATAAGCTGAGTGTGTTTTTACTAAGGTTTTTGTGAACGCCACCGATATTGTGACATTGAGAAGTCTTTGGAAACGAATTTAAGAGTAGTCACTTTCATAGATTTCTTAATGTACAGACACATAGCAGTAAAAATTAATATAGTGACTAATGAAATAGTTATATAACACATAGATTTGCATTTATATTTTGCAGTCAATAAATAAACTGACTGTATAGGCATTTACTGTAAAGTACACGTCGTAGTCACTATACATTGGTTTCGGTTCATTGTATAAGTATATAACGTATGGAAAGTAACACGATTTGGAATAATTATATCACAATGCCAGACTTAGCTATGAAATAAAAACTATACGTTACTCCATCTACTTTAGAATTGTAAATGTCACCTTCGATAGTATTCGAACAAGAATCGAAATATATTTTATACATAAATAATAATATAAAACAGTAATCTGATCACATTATTTGCAATATATTTTAAATACTTAATACTCTCTAAAACAAAGTTTTATTGAGGTAATCCGTAAGTGAACTATGTTTTACAGAGAAATCGGAAAAAAATTAAATAATAAATTTTGAGATCAGATTATGGCTACGTATGACGTGGCTTAACGTAAGCTAAGTGTGTTTCCATTTGCATTGTTCGAACACTATCGAAATGTGACATTTGCACATATTCTAAGAGAAACCTGTATACACACTTTTAGATATATGATTAGGTAATTGAATTGTTACTACCTGCCTATTGACATGTAGATTGTAAACAATTTTTTCTAAGAGTTAGATTAAGTAAAGCTTTGTATAAGACATAAGATTGATGGCTGTCTAAATAGTGCCTAAAACACTACGAAATTTCGATAATTCAGTTTTATTATCTTAATAACTTATGAATGTAAATAGGTATTCTAAAATTTGAGAGCGTAATATTTAGTAAATATCTGAATTTTGTAGCTGTACGTGTTGTATGATGGGATCAATTTGTTTGTACATTTTAGTTTTAAAATTTTTCCTTCTCTTCATGATGTTTGGTTGGTAACACTTACTTGAAAGACTAATGGAAAATCGGATATTGCATTAACATAAGTATCAAAACCGATGAGGATTTTGCTCAAATAAATCTGCACTGATTTTTCATGTCCCGATTGTAAAATAGCAGGTATATTGGCACGCATGTACGAATAACACTTAAATAGAATAGACCAATTTCTATAATTAATATAGAAATAGATGAAATCCAAATAGATTTAATGAAATATTTACATTAATGAGTATATTAAAGGATTGCATATAAACACTTTTGAAAGGCCCAATTGAAGGCACAACTTGTCAGGAAACACCTTGGTAATGCAGGAACCAGAACTAAAAATAAAACTAATTTAAAGTTTTCTTTTAATACACAATTTGAATAAAATGTCAACCAAATAAGAGTAAAAATTAATCTCAGAGAATATTTCATTAGAAATGTTAATTATGATTATTTATTTAGATTTTATATTTTCTTTGCTATTACGGCTTTTTCAGACAAGCAATAAGGTTGATATTTGGATGACATGAAATTTCCAGAGTAAAAATAATTAAATACACTATTTGGTTGCCTATGCGTCGAGAGAATTTCATACCGAACCATATTTTTATTAATTTTTTTGACTTAAAACCTGTAAGTAGCTAGGGTAATGAATAATCCTATAAAAATAATTGTTCGTAATAATTATACAAAAAAACACCAACTAGTATATTTAGATATACGACAGATTAGTGTAGAAATAAAAAAAAATATTTCCTGCATTATATTTATTATTAAAATAATAATCTTACCCATCTTATTAAAACTTTTCCTAAAATTTTTCATAAACAGTGTTTTAAAAAAATACTTTCTATATTCCCTAGTATTAACTACCTCGACCTTTTTACACGTCATACATACATTACCTAATGTTTACCTAATTACTGCCACTTTATATATTTCGCCTTTAATTATACATTTATTTTCTCCTATCTTCTAACTATATCATTCTAAAATAATTAAATGTAATATCATTATTCGAATTATTTTTCTCTTGTCCGATTATTTTCTCAATATCTTTTCCTGGCAAATTCTAAATCCAAATACGCACAATAATATAATATGAAAGTGGCATTTTAGTAAAACTAGGTATTTACATTATCGGTCTTTACTTAACAGTAGCCTAACGAATTGTCCCCATTATGAAGAATTTTAAAAATCTAGTCACTAAGAATAATTGCTTTATAGTCTGTTTTGTCTAGGACAGTGATTCACAAAAGTGTTTGCACTAATTATATTATTATTATTATATTTTATCAATTCTCGTCTATTCCTACCGAATATCCTAGTGTATAATTTATACCTTTCCATGATATTTAAAAACATAATTATACCTATCGAACACTTTTGCGAGTGAGTCCCAATTTTAGCTAAATTTCAAAATAAAAATAAAACTATTTATTTATAAATAAGAATTGACCAAAATGTTGTTTAAGAAACGTAGAATTTGTAAATAATAAGCGAAAAATCAGTAAGACATTATGTATAAATTAATAATGTAAATACCAGTTGTATTTGCGAATTTTAATGTAAATAAAGTAAAAAATAATAAAAATACGGTTCCAGTAAAATTATTTTTAAATAATACGTTCAATTGTATAATGAAATTTTAAGTTGTATGCCAACGGAATGTTCTATGCGGTGCGTAAACAAAAGATATGAAACTTTTGTGATCATTGTTGATGAAATGAAAGTGTAACTTCGATTATATGAGCTGTAGTATTTTTTAAATTGATTTTTATTTACACCCTATGCCTGAAGTTGAAAATAAACTCGATAAAATTATCTGGTGTACGAAATTATTTCCACGCAACATGTGAATAGAAAACCTTGTCCCTTTTTATAACAATAAATCCCATAGATAATATATAAAAAAAAAACAAAAAAAGAGACATGATGATACCTATGTAAATATTTTTATTAAATACAACGCCATCTATTAGAAGTCTCTGTAACCACAACATAACTCTATCATGAAAGTGCCTTGAATGGGTACTAGATGTCGCATAACTCAGTTTCCTCAAAATAAAATTTCTGGAAGACTTCTGTTTAGAATTACACAATTGAAAGTAAAGGATAGTTATAAAAAATATTTTTGTGTATATTTCCATTTAACTAAGAATACTAAAAACTAATACAGGAGTGCATTCCTGGTACACCTTTTTTTAAACAATAATTTATATAATACTAATAAAATCGTACCTGAAGTGAATGTCAAAGTTTAAAAAAAAAACTTTTATTAATCATTCCGAAAACTCTCTAGAGAACGAACTTCTAGCATCATTGGATGTTATTTTAACTAGATAGCATTATTTTATAACGTTGTTTTTTTGCTAACAGAATTATACAAAACTGATACCACAGTCACGGTTATCTACACTACATATATAGTTTAGTCATTTGGTAGTTGTACATCTGGAATTTTGAATGTTGTCGAGAAGTTTTGAATATTGGCAATTTTGCACGTACAAAATGGAAATGAGAACGAACGCATCAATATCAACAAAATTGCAAAATTTTCAAAACTCCCGGAAATCTTGCAAGACAACTCCTATGTTTCCTTCTTAATTATAGAATTAATTGGCATTAATGTTTAAAAAACATTCAAAATTTTAGACATGTAGGTAAGTTATACACTGCCTCGTTGGCCGAGTGGTCGCAATTGCGACTGCCGAGCAAGGGGTCTCGGGTTCGATTCCCGGGTCGGGCAAAATATTACTGGGCTTTTTTAAAAAAAAAATCTCAGTAGTAGCACGGAGTCTGGAATTGCGCCCGGTATATGGCAATAGGCTCACCCCCTATTACATGGGACCCATAACATAAATAGTAAAAAGTGGGTGTTACATTGTACAGTGGCATTAAGTGCCGTAATGTGCACCTCTGCCAACCCCTTCGGGGATAAAAGGCGTGATGTTATGTTGTTGTTGTTGTTGTAAGTTATACAATACATACCTTATATTTACTCATTTTTTTAAGTCAATTTTGATAAATAATTCATTTAAAATTGGTACTCTGTCTTAGTTTGAAATTAGACAATTCAATACAGCTTGGTATTTATTGGCACTGGTACCGGTACTGGTACTGGTGTTTTTGGACCACGTACTGGAATGTTTGGATTTTACCTGTAAACTCCGAACGTTCAGTTATCTGTAACATCAATTAATATGATAAAATATCTTATTTTAAAGAAGAGCTCGATGGTTTGAAATTGACAACGGTTATCTTATATTAATATTGAATTGTTTTATTTAACATTGATAGTTAAAACTCTTTTAAGCCGTGGTATACACCGGAGTCGGAGATATATGAATCAGAATCAGAATATTTTTATTTGTAAACATAGGTATGTGAGGTGTTACAGGTAGGTTCGCTAGACAAAATGGATTTGGATATTGTGTCTTATATACCGGCAGTCAAGAGGTTTTGGAGATATTGCGGGCCAAGGAGGAGGCCCGCCGGGAGATGCTGGGGACTCTGAATAGAGACCCGTGGGGACGCCCGTACCGCATGGTACGCGACAAGCTTCGCGCTTGGGCTCCCCCGCTCACTCAGAGTCTCCGGCCAGAGGTCGTTGAGAAGGTAATTGGCGCCCTGTTCCCCCGGCTGTGGAGGGGCTTCACCCCTCCGTATATGACTCCGCCCCCTGCGGTGCCCGACGCGGGCTATAGCGACGACGACGACGACATCGTCCCAGAGGTGACCGAGGCAGAACTGAGAGCGGCGGTGCGCCGGATGGGCGCCAAGAACACCGCCCCAGGACCCGACTGCTTGCATGGCAAAGCATGGGTCCTGGCCTCAGAGGCTCTCAGGCCTCGATTAATCGGTCTCTACAGCGCATGCTTGGAGAGAGGCCAGTTCCCGCTGCTCGGGAAAACTGGTCCTCGTGCGGAAGACGGGGCGCCCTGCGGACTCTCCGTCCGCGTACCGGCCCATAGTGCTGCTCGACGAGGTGGGGAAAGTCTTCGAAAGAATCATTTCGAACCGCCTCGTCGCGCACCTGACGGATATTGGGCCGGACCTATCGGACGGCCAGTTCGGCTTCCGCAGAGGGCGCTCCACGGTGGACGCCATCATGCGCGTTAGGGACCGGACGACGGGGACTGCAGTGTCCAGGGGTAAGGTCGTAGTGGCGGTGTCTCTGGACATCGCCAACGCCTTCAACTCCCTGCCCTGGAGCTGCATCTTGGAGGCACTCCGATATCATCGGGTGCCTACCTACCTCCGTCGTGTAATCGAGGCATACCTGACGGACAGGTCCGTCATCTACCCCGGTCACCGGGGCGAGTGGAACCGGCGAGAGATGTCACGCGGTGTTCCACAGGGTTCGGTTCTGGGGCCGCTCCTGTGGAACATCGGTTATGACTGGGTGCTGCGCACCGACCTCCCGAACGGCGTTAGCATGATATGCTACGCCGACGACACGCTGGTGCTAGCGCACGGGAGGTCGCACCAGGCGGCGGCCGATTTAATGGCGACAGCGGTTGCGACAGTCGTTGAGAGAATCCGGCAGTTGGGACTCGAGGTGGCGCTCCACAAGTCCGAGGCCATGTGTTTTCATGGCCGCGGGAACGCGCCACCTCCTGGTGGGTCTCAAATAATGGCGGGAGGGGTTACCATCGGCGTCGAGACGGCGATGAAGTACCTGGGACTCGTCCTCGACAGTCGATGGAACTTCGTGGAGCACTTCCGACGTTTGGCTCCAAAGTTGGCGAGGGTGGGGGCTGCGTTTAAGCGCATCCTCCCCAACCTCGGGGGCCAAACGCCTCCTGCCGGAGGTTATACGCCGGGGTCGTGCGGTCCATGGCCCTCTACGGCGCCCCTGTTTGGGCGCCGAACCTGCTGCAGCGGCCCGCTCGGGCGCTGCTTATGGCACAGAGGGTCATGGCGATCCGAATGATCCGCGGATACCGCACGATCTCTGGGGAGTCGGCGAACCTCCTTGCCGGATTACCGCCGTGGGATCTGGAGGCGAAGGTGCTCGCGCGCGTGTATCGCATGCGCGGAGGCACGTCGCCGGGGCGAAACTCCGCTGCCGCGCCAGATAAGTGCGTGGCGGGATGAGCTCCGGCGCGATCTCATGGCGGAATGGCAGCAACGACTGTCGCAACCGAGGGCTGGGCTCGCTGCCATTGCAGCGGTAAGTCCCCTCTTTGAGGAGTGGCTTGAGAGACGCTACGGCGTCCTCACCTACCGCCTGACGCAGGTCCTCACCGGACATGGAAGTTTCGGGAGGTACCTGTGTCTGATGGGGCGGGAGGAAACGCCCGGGTGTCATCACTGCGAGGACCACCCTGAGGACACGGTGGAACACACTGTTGCGGAATGCCCTGCGTGGGCTGAGCACCGCCGTGCCCTCAGGGAAGTGATCGGCGATGGAGACCTCTCGCGTCCGGGCCTAGTTCAGGCCATGATGCGGAGCGAGGGGGACTGGGATGCCGTCTCCTCCTTTTGCGAAGCAGTCATGCTGGCTAAGGAGGAGGCGGGACGCGTGAGGCAGCGAAGCGCTGCCTCCTCGCAACCCAGCCATCGCGAAGGACACACCGGGCGTCGGGGATCGCGGGACGATCTCCGGCCACCGTAAGCGCGGGCCTGCGGACGGCGAGCATGGGTGGCTCCCCGTCCGACCAGAAACAGACCCGAGCGTACGGCGCGTCGCGTTCCGCGCGCGCCTCAAAGAGCCATCAGACCACCACAGATGGGGCCCAATAGGGCCGATGCCGATTCGGAGTCGCGGAGAACCTAACGGGTAACCGGGGCTCCGGCTCGACGTGCAGGAGAAGGAACGGGGTGGTTTTTAGTCAGTAAGAGTCTGACACTCCCTTCCGCCTCACCCAGGCGGGAGCAGTCATTCGATGATTTTCCCCCCTTAAAAAAAAAAAAAAAAAAAAAAAGCCCTTTTTTGTATAATGAAATAAAGTTCGTTTAAAAACAAAATTATGTTTTTACATTTAAAAAATTCTGTCATTCTCTTAGCAAAAGTGAAAATGAAATAGAATTTTCTCACAAGGAATTTTGTGACTTAGCTTGTTTCCCCTGAATGCAATTTGCAGTATTCTATTATCTGTCCACGAAACGTGGGTGTGAACGAAGCGCACGTTCCCAACTGAGTTCGTTTCCACGTTTGGGACATAAATAACTCAAGTAAGGACGTCTAAGTACGTGCATTTAATTAATGTCCAGCACCCACAGTGAAGGATGAAAGGTATTACTCATGTTGTGACTTAGAAAACAAATTCAATTTTGATGTTTTTGATAAACTTGCTTTATTTTTCAAAGGGTAACCTTGTATATTTGTTCAGTCAGTTTTAGTTAACTTTGTTGTCCCTCTCGGTTTTGTTACCTATTTATTTCATACATACATACATAGACTGCGTCGTTGGCCGAGTGGGCGCAAGTGCGACTGCTGGTCAAGAGGTCTCGGGTTCGATTCCCGGGTCGGGCAAAGTATTACTGGGTTTTTTAAAAATCTCAGTAGTAGCACGGAGTCTGCAAATGTGCCCGGTATATGGCAATAGGCTCACCCCCTATAACATGGGACTCATAACATAAATAGTGAAAAGTGGGTGTTACATTGTACAGTGGTATAATGTGCACCTCTGCCTACCCCTTCGGAGATAAAAGGCGTGATGTTATGTTATGTGTTATTTCATGATTGATTTAGGTCGACCTCACTCAAGTCCTATAGTATCATATCCTAGCACGGCCTAAATTAAAATTTAGGTACCTTCATTTGACATTTCGAGGTCATTCAGACAATATTCATTTTTGATAATATTATTCTTCAT